CTCATTTGATTGTTTTGTTTTACTCTAGTTTGCTTGATTTTGTTTTATTTTATGTTTATTTTGATACATCTGTTTTTCTGATGAGAGAGAGTGTGTGGATTTGTTTGAAAGTGCAGATGGGAGGACCTGGGAGAAGTTGGGGGCGCTGTGATCGGAATATATTGCATTTAAAAAATCTATTTTCAGTATAAGAAAAACGTCTAAAAGAACTCACAGTCAATTTTTCATTAATTGTTGCTACATGCATATGTATATTTCCATATACATATGTATTCCTAAATATATCATGCCTGGTCTCTATGCCATCACTTGTATGTATGTTTTGAGGGATGACTATTTGGTTTTGAGTAACTTTTTGGTTACCAGCTCTCTCTGGAAAGACTATTTCTCCCATTCTCAGGATTTTTTAATTTGCGTGCAGTTCTTTGTACAGCGTTGAAGCCTCACCGTGTTTCCCTCCTTCACTTTTGTACGTCCCTTGCTGTTGTCCTTGTTCAGCTCATGCTTAGGAAGTCTTTGAACATTACTGAAAGACACAATCTCATAGCAAACTCCCTGATCTTCTGTTTCTTAAAGTCCTTCTGACCCCTCTTTTGCAATCTTCCCTCTGCCTCAGGTGTGGAAATCGTGTTGTGTTTTTAACCAATGGGACAGGGTTCCACAGCTCTGCAATTTGTGTTGTGAGTGGAATGGCAGGCTGCATTTCTGGCACCTGGCTGGTCACCCGTACGGCTAGTTTTATTTGAAATAATTACATGGAAATTGTATTTTTTTAAACATTGCTTGGCCCATTAGTTTTAGCCTTTTATTGGCTAGCTTTTATATATTGATTTAATCCATTTTTAATATTTTGTGTAGCCCATGAGGTGGCTTATTAGGGAAGATCTTAATTTGCGGCTGTGTTGGGTGGGAGAATCATGGCAACTGCCTGAATCTGCTTCTTTCTCCCAGCATTTTGTTTTTGTCTATTCTGTCTATCTAAATTTTATCCTATCAGATCCATCAAATTTGATTTGTTGTGGTTTTCTTTAATGGTCTCTTATTTGCTGCAGAGAGAATTTTTCAGTTTTTCTTGATGAAGGGTGGGGACTATACTTATTTCTTAAAATTTGGAACAAGAAGCATCCGATGATATAGAACATGTGATATTTGTCTTTATAGGTCTGGGTCATTTCACTCAATATAATCTTTTCTAGGTCTACCTATTCACCAGGCTATGCATTAGAGTGTGACAATATACTTTTAACTTTTAAGAAAATTTAAAATTAGATTGACTCATTGTACTTTATATGTGTTTTGTGTTCATGTGTGTATTTGCAGAAGAGGGCATCAGATCTCCAGGAACTGGAATTATGGGTGGTTGTGAACTACCATGTAGATTGTGGGAGTTGAAGCTTAGTCCTCTGTAAGAACAATAAGTCTTATTAATTAATCTTTGAGCTAAATCTACAGCCCCTTCCCCCATAAACTTTTGTTGTTGTTGTTTAAGTCTCAAGTAAACCTTTTTTTACCTTGGATTTCCATATCCCTGCTTTTGTTTTTGTTTGTTCCCCTTGTATTTAGAAAAAAAGAGTATAGATAGTGAGGTTTGGCACACTTACAAAATGGCATAAATATGAGGGAATATTCTAGTGATAAAAATGGCAGGAAAGGCAGCACAGGCAGAGTCAAATAGCTCCACAGTTAACACCATGACTGCAGGTTTAGAAGACTAAAGACATTTATCAGTGTCTTTTTTAATATATTTTTAATTTATTTATTTATTAAAGATTTCTGTCTCTTCCCCGCCACCGCCTCCCATTTCCCTCCTCTTCCCCCAACCAAGCCCCCCTCCCTCAGAGCAATCAGGGTTTTCTGTCCTGTGGGAAGTCCAAGGACCACCCACCTCCATCCAGGTCTAGTAAGGTGAGCATCCAAACTGCCTAGACTCCCACAAAGCCATTCTGTGCAGTAGGATCAAAAACCCATTGCCATTGTTCTTGAGATTATCAGTGTCTTTTAATCTTCATCAAAAGTCATGAGGACTTCATTTCTGTATTGATCTTAAAATGGCAAACATCCCATTTCTATGCATTTGCAGTATTTTCTTTCCTTACATTTAAACCTTGATTTTCCAGATCTTTTCCACCCTCACTAGTCTGGTTTATGATTGCTAACAAGTAGCCTTTAGCTTGTGTTTTTCTTTGTTTCTCCTTACATAGAACTATTTGGGCCTCCCTCAGGAACTCTTTTGGTTTCCCTTTTGTCATTCAGTCGCCCCACCCCGCCATTTTAATATGTGTGGCAAACTGAGAGTTACAAAGTGTAATTTTTAGCATCCCTTACCTAATGTCTAATCTCTGACCCTTTAGATTTTCTAGGAACACTGTAGGCCCTTTTCCTTGTTGTTCATGAGAGCTTCTCACGTTCTGGTCTGCATTTTGAAAAAGTCACTGGCCTGGCCATCATGCTCTCACAATATCCCTCCAGGCAGGTTTTTAAACATTGTGGGAGGAAATTGTCCAAAATTCCTGGATCCCCCACAAAACCCTTGAACACGTTATCAGTCATTCCCTGTGCCGGACAGTTTTATGTCATCTTGACACAAGCAAGAGCTTTATGAGAAAGAGGAAACCTTAACTGAGGAAAAATATTCCAATGAGATTGGCATATGGGCAAGTCTATAGGGTATTTGCTTGACAGATGATTGATGTGAGAGGAGTCAGCTCACTATGAGAGTTGCCAGCACTAGATTTTAGGCATGAATTATTTTAAAAAAACAAACTGAGCAAGTCAAGAGGAGCAAGCCAGTTAGAAGCACTTTGTCATGATCTCTGCTTCAGTTCCTGCTTCCATGTGCCTATCTTTAGTTCCTGCTCTAATGTCCCTGTAAGGAGGAATACAAAATGTAAGATGAAATAAACCCTTTCTTTCCCAAGTTGTTTTTGACCATAGTATTTTATCAGCACAACAAAAAATAACTAATATACATCCTTATTGAATGATCCCTCAGTGGGCAATCCCACCAAAAACATGGCCAATCCATTTCACAGACTGTCCAGAGGTGCCCAGGGGACATATTAATAAGGTAATCTCCCAAATTACCATTTTTTATTTCACTGTGGGATGTAGGGAGTAAATTTACTTAGTTATTGATCTATTTGCTTCTCCTAAAAGATGACAACCACACCAAATCCAAAAGAGGGGAATGTAAACTCTTGATTTATAAAGTTGAGTACTTTCCTGTCATCCATCAATGTCTTTGCCATTCCAACCTGGAGTCTACATCACTCCTACCCATGAGAATACTAAAAGCTTGGGCTCTAGAAAGAGATCAAACTCAAACTGCACTTCTACCCTCTTAGGTAGGCTAACCAAAACTAAAATAAGATAGGTTCTCAAGCATCAGATGTGCAGCAGCCCCTGAACTGGTTCCTGAGACTCACTGGCTTCTGCTGTGTTTCTGCAGTTCTTGCCTGAGGATGCCAAGAAGATTAATCTCCTATGGATTAATGAGTCCTCTGGCACACCTACATGAAAGTAACAGGGTTATACAAACACACACATATGTATATATAAAAAATATATATAAACATATATATGTATACATATATTTTACCATCTCTTGAAAGAACCCCCAAGAGACATTGCAGAATTTCTGAAGAGAGAAGAAGGACCCTGGGATCATTTGCAAGGAGTAGTTTTATTGGATGCCAGCACAATCTCTGTAACACAATCTCAAAGACAGAGAGTCAGATATCCAGAAAGGAACCTATTTTTACATCTTTATCTTCTTTGTCTCCCATATAGAGTGAATTACATTCTAACTGATTACTTTCCTAGGGAGTGGGGTTTAAAAGCTGGAATAGGGAGGAAAGGAAAGGAAACATTATTGCACAAGAGTAGTAGGGTTGCGCCTACAGTCAAGACTCTCAGCACCTTACAGGCTGTTTCCTGTTTTCCTTCTTGGATCTTGGGAAGCACATGACCACATGACCCTTAATCCTGGCATTCTTACTCTTGCTGTCATGCCTCCCATCACCTGTCTTGGTGCTCCAGTTCTTTGCCACTGCTGTGTACACTGCCTGCAGGTGCTGCTCTATCAGATGTCTACATGGACCTTTACATCCACTGTTCCCCTCAGTGATGACACATCTCAGGTTCACCCCTTGTGATTCGCAAGCCATTCAGTGCTGCACATACTCCAGCCCTTGCTCTGCTTTCTTTCCACAAATACTTTGCACTGCATACACTGTGAATTTATTAGCATGCTGTTTCTTTATGGCTAGGGAGTTTGCTCTTTGCTCTACTGTATCCCAGGCAGAGAGCCTTGTAATAGCTGGGGGAGTGAGTGAGTGGCTGGGGTATTGGGAACATTTAGCCTCATTTATTCATGTGACCTTCTAAGATTCCCAGAAGCATGTTAACAACCAGACAGACGCCAAGAAACCAGAAAGGGAAGGGATGGAGGAGCCAAATGTGGTGTTGAGAAAGCCAGGAAAGAGTGAGGCCATAACACACAGGAGGAAGGTGCTCATAGGAAGGAGTGGTTAGTTATGATGTTATTGAGCTACGAGAGAGGAGAGAGAGAGAGAGAGAGAGAGAGAGAGAGAGAGAGAGAAAAGAAAAGGAGAAAAGGAGAAAAGGTCCTCTGGGTGAACTTGAGATCTAAGTCTTAGCATTTCAGATAAAGTGAAGACAGGGACCTCACCCAACTGTCCAGCTCCACATCAACCTCAGGCTGTGTGAAGCAGAAGATGAATAGAAAAAGTACTGGAGTGTAGTGATATCCTGGTTCTATAGTGAGGGTTTATGTCCTCAGAGTTTGGACACCAGAGCCTCTCCAGTTGCCCTGTGAACTGAGACCTTGGGCATCTCTCTACTCAGGATCTTTTTTTCTCTCATACAGGTTTTTTTTTTTTCATGGATGGCAGCAGCTGAAATTGAACTGTGGAGACAAAATGATGGTTTTTGGAAGTGAGCCATGTCAGGCAGGTGGGAGTTTATGTCTCTAGGCTGAGTTACCTCTTCTGAGGACCTCTGTCCATAGTCACTGGCTCCACAGCCTCTGCAAGAAGTTGTACACTTGTGGTCTCTCTCCGGGCTGAAAGAGGGAGAAGATTGTTAGACAGAAAGATGGAGCCCCCTTAAGTTCAGATAGCTGTGAAGGAGGGACCTTTACAGGTCACGGGATAAGTTCCAGGAGAGGGAAAATTATAGAGAATACCTGACATCTGCACAGGTACTGAGATCACATTTTCTCATCTGAGATTTTACAGAAGAATTTTTAAGTTCACTTGTCCCAGTCTGGATGGATTTCCTGATGACTTGACCCTAATGGCCTGCTTTCCTTGATGACCTGACCCCTGATTTGATGGAACATAGGGGACCCCACCACCTTCTCAGACCCTGGTCACCAATATTCAAACCCACTCACCCATTTTTCTGCGTTTTTCTTGATGCTTGCAACGGAGAAGGAGGAGGGTAAGAAAAAGAAGCAATAGAAGGAAGGCCACAGCTATTCCAAATAGAACCTTCAGGTACCTTTCAAGTCCTGGGGAAAGGTGACATCCAGAATAAGGAACCATGCTATCTGCCTGAATATCTACTGTGTGCAAGACTTACGCTGGGTCTTTGCACCCATTATCTGCCCTTTTCACAATCATACAATAGCATTCATGCCCTCCCACATTATGCCATATCACCTGCCTGGAAGAGGTAAATCTGGGGTTTGAAACCATGGAATCTAACTTCTGGCACTGCACCTTACACCAAGGATGAATCCCATGAGCTAGAGGGAAGTAGCCCGAATACCCTGCTATGGTCCTGTTCTACACCCTGTCACATGTCACTATGACTTTGGCATAGGGGACAGGCTTACTGCAGAACCAGGTTCTGGAAGTCTCCTATGTCAAGGGATTCCCAACTTAGGTCACTGCTGAAAGGAACTTAAAAATGTGTACTATGCTTCTCTCCTTCACATTTTGAAAAACAGAGGCCCAGACAGAGTCAAGGCTTGTGTAAGTCAAATCTAAAAAAAAAAAAAAAAAAAAAAAGAAAGGAAAAAAAAAGCCTGCACCAAACCATAATTTTCTCTGGACCCCTAGAACCTAATTCTCAACACTTTCCTCAGTATTCCCAGGGCCTGGATTCTCATGGGCAAGAACCTAGTTTCCAAAGCATGCTGGAGAATGATGGACAAATAGAGGGCTTGGTGCTCTGTTCTACACTGAACCCATCTGCTCCTTATAAGTCTGAGCTCTAACATCTCTATATGGATGTCCCCCTATTCATTCCAGGCTCTAAGACTCTAGGATACTGCAATGCTGCTGAGATCTCAGCTTGGCCTCTGGGTCCTTAGACACAATCTGAGTTGACAGAGTAACCAACCAGGTATAGATGTGCTGTCAGTTGGGAGGCAGCCTGGGGATGGAGCAAGCTCCCAAGAGAGAGGCCAGTGACACTCACCAAATGTTGGAATGGGCTCTTCGGATAAGGAGTCAGGGTCTTCAGAGGACCCTGGGAAATAAAACAAGTGGAGTGTGAGGGAAAGAGACTGACCCTGGAGATGTTGTCTCTCATTGTCTTACATCTGCCTTGGAGATATTTACCCAAGAGTCTCCCGCTGGCCACTTAGAACTTTCTTAATTTTAATAGAGGTGAAATGGGAATTCTTTAAAGGACAAATGTTAGGTTCTTCAACTTTGGCTGGTGAATATCAATGTGACTGACCCTCCCTCTTTCCTGTCACTCATATTCTAGCTAAGAGTTCTTCCAAGCATAGTCTCAAGGGTTACCATTTCAGCTCAGAGAAGTCAAAGACACTTACCCGAAACCACAAGCTCCACAGCATTACTGGGGTACGACAGCATGTAGGGTAATAAGTCTTCAGAACTATAGCACTTGTAGGTGCCCCCATGGGTAAAGGTCACATTCCTCATGAAGAATTTTGCCTGGTATAGCTTATCTTGCAGCACTGATCTTAAATACAGAAGTGAGTGGGCAGTCCCCTCTTTAGACAGAACAAAACTACCCCTTCGATGCGATGATTGACACACCAGGGTCACATCCTCTCCAGAGGACATTCTGGAACCTGGGAGCACTGACAGGGTAGGTGTGTCATGAAGCTGTCCTAGAGAGAAGAAGGATGGATGAAAAATTGTTCACCTTGACCTGAGCTGAAACCTCACCAGCACTAGTCTCTAAGGACTTGGGTAACACTGATTCAGCTTCATCTCTACATCTGTACCTTTATGAAAAAACATACTTCCTTTTGACCTTCACAGCCTGGACTTCCACAGCACATCCTGTCTAGTTGCGGGTCTCTGACTGGACTGGTTTGGCTCTGAATTTATGATCAGGGTGTCCAAGAGGACAGTGGGGGTATGATCTCTCAGAAGAGAATAGGTGTATACCATGTCATCTACACTTGCCCAATGACAGGAACACTCATGAAATGACAGGAGCACTCATGAGACTCAGAGAGAAAGTTAGCCCAAGTACCTATCGGGGATTGTAGCTCAGGGTGCCAGGAGAGGCCAGTTCCTCCTTCTCTTCCCTGAACAAAGCAAATCCATTGACGCTGATATCAAAGAAACACTGATGGGTTAGTGCTTTTCCAGGCTAGGACTATGGTAGGTCAGGAAGGAGGGCATGCTGGACAGCCTTTGAAGGAAGACAGATGGTTCCTGAAACATATCAGTCCCCTCCCATCATGTCCTGCAGGTAATATTTCTTTACCATTCCAAAACTCTAGTTCAAGAGCTAGGAGTTTCTTTCAGACCCTCCTACATGGTACTCCTCAAGGACCAGAGCTTACGGGTCTGAAAAATGATTAGACAGTTGCTGTGGCTACCTCACCTGCGATGTGTATTTCCAAGGAGTCACTGGGATTAGACCACATATAGGTACTATTTTTGTAGCCGTAACATCTAAATATTCCTGTATGACTGACTGTCACAGGACCTGTGTGGAAAAGAGCCTGGAATTGTTTGGTAGAGTTTATATACTGTGAGTCCTGGAGCCTGGAGAACTTCTCATCTTCCTTGGTCAGAACAAAACCATTGTATCTCTCCCATGAGGCACACTGGAAGGTCATGATCTCTCCTGAAGTAACCACAAGGCTTGTCAGGGATGATAGCATGGGTTTGGGGAGTAAGTACCCTAGACAGAAGAAAGTAACATGTTACTTGGGATCATACAACCCACATTGTTCCTCGGGGTTGAGCTGTGGGAGGGAAACACTCTTGAGAACAGATAGAGCCTTTCCTGAATGTGGAAACTTAGGCTGGAACCATTACCTGTCACCACCAACTCCAGAGTATTACTCTTCTTTGACCGTCTAGGAGGCTTGTAATAGAAACAGAGATATCGCCCGGCATGGGACCATTGAATAATTGGGATGAGGAACTTGGCTATGTTTCCAGGCTTCATCGGGGTTAATCTCTGCAAAGAACCTTGTTTTCCAATTTGATAAAGATAGTAATCCCAAGCACCTGGGGTTCCTTCACATATAATGGTCACCTGAGATCCATTGGCAACCACAGATCCTGGCTCAGCCCTGAGAACAGGGTTTGGAAGTGACCCTGCAAGGAAATCAATATCTATGCCATAGGACATCAGGCTTTGGATCCCAATACTCTGTCCCAGGATGTTTTTCAATTTCACAGCATCAGCCCACATCTGTTGTTCTCCATGCCCACTGCCCAGAGATGCTCCCTTGTCCTCAGTGAGGATGAAGGACCTGAGAACCTGAGGACATACTTACTTGTGTGCAATGGGATCCTGAGGCCCAGAGTCAGTCCTGGAAGAGAGTTCCGTGAGAGAAATTTGTCCCCAAGGATTGAGTAGACCCTCCCTTCCACAGTTGCCTTCTGACTTCCTCAGATGCCTTGGTAAAACAAGGCCTGGCTGTGGAGTGAAGCCCCACCCCACAGCAGTATGTTCTGTCCCCTCTTCACATCTCACCAAGGCAGAGGAAAGCTGTGAGTGTTCCAGACATGACATCTGTGGCTACAGCTTTGTAGATGGTTGGAGACAGAGCCTAGCCAGATGGGAAGACACACAGGGTGTGGCCTTGTTATGTGGTGGGTTCTCTCTCTTATCACAATGCTGTCACTTCCGCAGTCTTACAGAAAGAGGAACTTCCCTTTCCAGTCAACTGTCTTTGATTTTTCCAGTGATATAGCTCAAGCAGGATCTATATTCTCTAATTATTTTTTTTGAAAAAGAGCCTCGTGAAGTTCAGACAATCCACACACCCCTTATCTCCCTCCTTCCTGTGTGTTAGGTTTATAGGCCAGTGGTGGGCTATAGTCTCTTCTTACAGAAGCAGCAATTCCATGGAATCTCTATATCTGTCTGAATGATTTTCATGTTATGAATGGCCAGGACTTAGCAATAAATAGTCCTAGTGTCTTCCTGAGAAGGAACTTCTCAGCTGAGAGTGGTCTGTGGCTGGCCAGTTTTGATCAAGGACTCTCCACTGGGAGTCCTTTACTTCTAGGGCCAGACCCTCCTCACAGAACCTCCTTCAGAGGACTTGTGGCCTCAACAGATGGCATCTCATCTTTCTCCGACCTCAATACCGGATATTCAACCACAGTAGAAGCGACATGTTCTCAGTGAGAAAGCGACTCACCAGAAACCTGATTGCATGTTTGTCCTCCAATCATTACCTCCTGGACACCTCATTCATGGTTTATTCTTTATAAATTATAGTCACTTAAGCCATAGCTGCATAAAATAGGCTAGCTTAATTCTGCAACTTTATGTTTCTAACCAGCTGAGGACAGTTCTTGCTGCTCATGGTGGCAAGAAAGAGTCTCTCTGTCTAGACTCAGTTTTGGTGCTGGGTCGGATCTGTGTAGCTAGGGTTTCAAATTGGGTTTTCTTGGTATTTATGTGACTCCCCTCTTGGCAGAACACACTCAGTACTTAGTGTGTGTGGCTGTCTGGGACATTGGGCGATTTCCTGTCCATATTCCAGTGGGTGCAGGTTTCAGATGGTTTTGGTGTTAGATCCTGAGAGGTCTCTGTGGTGGTAGGACTTGTGTGGTGTTTGTGTAGGCTTCTTAGCCCTCAACAACTTCCTTAACCCTCCTGGCTTGTCAGTAACTTTAAAAATCTACCTTTCTCACCGCCACAGTGGATATCACCTGAAAATGAGGTGGGGAAGCTCATTTCTCTAGTAGATTAGGGTTTTTCCATTCTCATGATGTATTTATGGTATTCACACATGGCTCAGATGATAAGTTTTTCTGAGTGCTTCTTTTTAATTAGGTTAGCTTTCATATACTGTCCCTCTAGTGACTTTGAGACACTCAAGACTTTCCTTGTGTAAGTGCCCTGAGGATTTTCTAGTTATAACATTAAGCTGTTTGTAGATAAAGACATCTTTTCTTGTAATATCCTTCACAGTTACAGCTCCATAACTGAATTGTGCCCATCACTACTGTTACTAGCAAGATATCTTTATACCTCCACGAATTTGCCTAGGGCACTGTGGAGTACATGTGGCATGAAAAATACTGATGCCATTACAAATTTCTAGGATAAATATGTCACTTTATGTAACAGAAGAATATTTTCATCTGTTTTTTGTAAATTAATATACAATAAGTGAACAGTGGTCAATTTTCACATTTATGAAAACATACTGACTTTTCATAAAATTCTTTTTATCTATTCTAGTAAACATGTTTCCCTTTTACTTTTTGTGCATGGAAAATATTAGCTTGATGTTTGAAATTTTTAAATTAACCTTGATTCATAGAAAGAACCCATATTGATCATGTCTGCCATTCTTCTTATATGACAGAGTATGTTACTTGCTACCTTTTTGGTCTAGGACACTGTCTCTAATGTCTTTTGAGATTGTGAACTATGCTGGTCCTCTTGTGTAAGGAGATCCTGATGTTCTTGTTGAACATGGAACAAACTTGGGAAAGTTTCATCTACTATTTTTTGAAAGTTTGTGCAGGGACAGAAGCTCACTGCCCCACCACTGATATAACCCAGGGAATGTAAACAAAGGAAAGCATGGCCAGCACCTTTAGTGACCTGTAACCTCTGCTGACCAAGTCAGCCATTTCCACTGTAGTTGTGTGTCCATCCTCCCTCCCCCCAGGCACCATAGTCTCAGGTCCTGCTACTCAGGCCCTAGGGGTCCCAGCAGCTACTGCCATAGGCAACTTCCTGCCTCCCACCCCCTTCGCAGCTGCTGACAAAAGTCTTCACTGTAGTTTAGAGCTGTTAACAGCAGTCCCTGTTTTTCCTTCTGCTCTGAAACCACATTTGCTGTTTTTTTAGAGTTCCTCTCCCAACCTGCCTTCCTCCTCCCCCAACACCTCCAACTCTCCCTAACAACCTTCAACAACCCATAACCCAAACAAATCCACCTGCCTCCTCCTTGTCTGCCACAACTGTTGTGCATTCCTGTCGCTTTAAGGGACAAGCCACGCCCACTCCCATTACCTCTGACCTGCCCGCAGCCATCTTGGCCCCTTTTCTGCTTCCTTGACCTGTGTGCTTTTTATTGTAAGGAAGACCTGGGAATGTTATGGTTTTGGTCCCTTTAAGAGACAAGCCATACCCATTCCCCTCCCCATCCTCTGAGGCAGGCTGATCTTCAGCTTCAGGCCTGAGCTCTTCCTCTTTTCCATCTTCCTCTCGGAGAGGCAGCTCCCCACTTCTCAGCTTTCCCCCTTCTCTGTCTCTTTCTCCTCTTCTCTCTCTCTCTCTCTCTCTCTCTCTCCCTCTCTCTGTCCCCCCTTCACCCTTCCTCCTCCATAACCCCCTGAATAAACATTCAACCTCACCCTGCATGTCGTGTCTATCCATGTTTCTGTCTTCTGCCCGCCTGCCATGTGTCTCCCTGCCTGGAACCAGCCATTGCTCGGGGACCAGCAGCCGTCTCTGCCTGGGGCCCACTGCCTGCTGCCACATGGCCTGCCACCACTGCTCTGAGACCAGCAGCCCTCTCTGCCTGGGACTGGCTGCTCCCAGGGCCTGCTGTGGCCCGCTACCACCATTTGGGACCTACAGCATTTCTGCTGCCTACTGCTGCGGGGATCTTGCAGCATTTTTTAAAAAAGAGACCAGCCTGGTCTACAAGAGCTAGTTCCAGGACAGGCTCCAAAACCACAGAGAAACCCTGTCTCGAAAAAACCAAAAAAAAAACAAAAAAACAAAAAAAGAATAACAACAACCTGGGCCTCTGTCTTGTCCAGCCTACCCCCAGCTTCAGGTCACTGACTCCTCCCAGGCAGTCTCTGTGGTCAAGGCGAGCCACGGCTTCCTCCTGCCGTGTTCTCAGTTTTCAGTTTATCTTTCCTGTCCTTAAATCCTCCTGCAGCTTACACAAACACAGGATCCCAAAATTTCGTATATCTTAACTCTGTCCTACACTTCCAAAACTTCGACTAAAATTCATTTTCTACCCTCTCTCCTCCTTAAACTATCTCCAGAGACCAGCTGATTCTTCTATGCAGTCACTCCAAAGAGCCCTCCAGTCTGATGCTGACTGCTCCCTCCTGTCCCCAAACCAGATTCACCACCGGTGCTTGCTCTGTCCACTCTTCTTCCCATGTCAGCTTGTCTCCACTGTTACACTATTTCAGAGATGCACTCCTCCCTCCTTCCTTCCTAAAACCAAATTCTCCACTTTTAATCACTTTATGACCCTTCTTATCTCCCACCTCCTTCCTCCAGAGTCCTTGCCACCTTCCCAACTAATTAACCCATTCCTGTCCTGACACTGCCCGGAGCTCAAACTCAGTCACAGAAAACAAGCTGTAATATTCTGTAATGACAATTTTACTATGTTTATGGTTTACAGAAACAAGCTTTATTTAGCCTCCTGTGTATCAAATACACCTTACTTAATAGATACTTGCTCCTCAAACTTTTCAGAGATTTGTTAAATATGACTTAGAAACAATTAAACCTAAGAGTTTCAAATATACATCCAAGAACAATTTTTTTCTAAACTCCTTAATTTTACCTCTGCCCCTAATCTATCTGTCCCAACATATTTCAAATCAATTACAGACTGCTCTAAAAATTCCAGGACAAGCCTCATCTGTCTCTTAGGATCTTACATCCTGCTTCAGCCTCACCTAACACACTTCCCTATACTCAGATAATCCCACAGAACCTGGGCATCAGCTGACACACCCTGCTCTTCTAAATCTTAAACAATAGTCCAGCTTCCTTGGGTCCTATAACAACTATGCCACCCCAATGTCAACAAGAAGCAGTCAGAGAGAATGGTGCTCACTTACTCAACACCTGACCACCCAATGATAAAACAAAAAAGTAGAGAATGAAGGAACATTGGGGCTTTGGTAGGGCCTTGCCCTTCTCCCCAGTTCCCTCTGCTTTGCTAAAATCTGTTAGATTACGTTCTTAAAGCAGGCCACCAAGGTCCATTCCATTCCCTTACTTGATTAATCTTTCCTCCTGAGACCAACTACTGAGGTCCAACTATCAAAGTATTAAAACTCACCTATCAAAGCCCTTTATGGTGCACCTAATTAACATGCCTAATTAAAATTAAACACCTCATCCTAGCTTGGGGTTTCTT